AGTTGTCTCCAAGGTCATCAATGAATATGAGAAACAACAGAGGGGCAAGAATGCTCCCCTGAGGAACACCACAGTTGATGATCTCCTCGTCTGAGACGCAGCCGTTAACTACTGTCCTGATTCTTCTATACTATATCGTTCAACTATATCGTTGCAAGACTGAAAAACATCTGTGCAGTATGAAATTAGTTGTTAATTGAGACGTTCTATGTAGAAAATAGGTAATTTTAAGCTTACTGTTATCTGTTTCAAAATATGATGCTCTCCGATATTTTCTGAATAAATTTTGAATGGTTATAGCTAAAGGCTAGCCTTTAGCTATAACCATTCAAAATTTACTCTAATATGCTAACTATTTAGGAAAAGTGAATTTCTTCATAAAAATTCAGTTGTAAATGCAACCTAAGGACATATTCAAAATCAGCGGAATCTGTTCTATCCAACACCATGCAGAAACTTCATCTTGTGCACTTATTTTAAAAAATAATAGAAATGTTTCTGGGAAAAACAGCATTTCCAAAGTGTATACTGGGTTCAAAGAGTTTCCCAAAGTTTCCCAATCTCACTGAACCTTGATCTTTGGTCAAAGTAAGTGTTAATACCTCCTACGCTTACAATACTAGCGAAAAGTTGCGAAACTTTAACTGCTGCTCTGGCTACATTTTCAAAGATCCCTCGGTTTTTGAGGTAAAACTGCGCTTTCTGCATCTTAAAAACATGTTCTGTTGCATAAAATATACATATTAAGAATCAGCGTGAAAAACTGCATCGAATGGTGTATAACTCATCTGGTTTCGGTAGCTCGATTTTGAATTCTAGAAATTTTACAAGACCGAAAGACAAAAAGACTTTTTTGAGATTCACACAAATAATTTCGTGCTGAAAATTTGAATTTCAAGATAAAATAACCTGAACGGCTCAAAACATGTTTGTTATAGGTTTTCGACGATCCTCTTTCCAGTGGCATCGTTTTTGAATATTGAGAAAGTTTTCTGAAGGGTTTTTAAGAGATCGGATCTCTGGAAAACTCCTTAGAAAACTTTTTCAAAAGTCAGCTCTCATGCCATTTGAAAGAGGATCTATAAAAAAATGATTCAGGAAATTTTAGTTCACTCATAAAGCTAAAGTCCGCGTGCTCTAGCAAAAAATGCCCACTGTGCTCTAATGAGGTAACATAGTGTGAAATCGCTTTTTTCACTTAACCTAGTGGATCATAGGTAACTGATGATGCTGATGTCGAATATCAGCATGAGACGGGCTGCTAGGCTTCCACAGATCAAGTTCGGGGAAAATCACTTTTTTAGAAACTCTAAAGAATAATCACAACCTTTCCTAATGAGCCAGGATTATAGCCCGCAGATTCCTGATTAAAATGAGATCTTCCAGCTCTACACGGTCTTTCACACGTGTCTTTTACACGGTTCGGAATTATCTCTCGATTAGAACTGATAATTCGGAACAAATCATTTTTAAACTTTTTTTATTGAGGATAATGACCAGTAAAAAAAAAACTGAAAGTGATCCTGACAGTAATTCAGTAAAATACAATTACTGATACACGTCTAGTTGCAAATTTACCTCATGTTTCGAGCAAACAGTTTTCTTTAATATAGATATTGCAGGCTGTTGTAAATTAAAAATAATACCTGTAGTTGTTTTTACTGAAAAAGTGTAACAGTGTCACGTAGTATAGCCTTGAACGTTAATCTCATGTTTTTCTTGATTATCTTTTACAACACAATTCATACTTCTTACTCACGTATAAACCTCACGTAAGAGTAAAAAGTATGGATTGTTTCGAAATTTCAGCCCGATTTATCCAGCGGAAAAAAGACAATTTTTCAATCTCGCTCATAATGAAATCGATATACTATATACAACGTGCGCGATGTGATTTTAACGGAGATACTATTTAGGATAACAGAAAAGAAACCCTATGCACCTATATGGAACTGATAGAAAGGAAAGAAAGCACATCATAAAATAGAAGGAACCAATAACTAGATACCCGAAGCAAAAATACACAGTAAAACATTATAAAGACCATAATCATTATCAAGTGGATTTAAAACACTGATACAGAAAGCCAGTCCGAAAGTTACGTCTTTACAGTTATGTCGTGCAAACCAGATACCCCAATTCTCGCACTAGTTACACCATATTTCAGCCTCTGATCGCAATGTACACCATAAGAAAAGAGTTTATACAATGAATGTAGATTGCTAAGCACTGCGAAGAAGAGAATTGATTTGAAATAAACCTAGCACACTTCTTATTAAAACGGCTGTAAAAGCTTCAAAAGAAACAAATAAACTTGAATCAACATTAATAAATGATATGACACAAATTCATGAAACATTATTACTTATTAATGACATAATACGTGTAGCATTATCACTTAATATTGATAAAACTAATCATTTAACCATTTTACCACGTTTACAAGTACCAATGATCAGTTTACTATCGAAATCATCAACATTTTGTGGTAATTTAATAATTATTGATACTCCTGGACCAAATGAAGATCAACTTTCAAAACATCTGAAACAAGTGATTATAAATGAATTACGTAAATCAGCAATAATATTAATCGCATTAGATTTTAATTCATTAAATTCAACTGATGAAGCAGAACTAAAACGAGATATTGAAGCTGTTTGTTAAATAGATGGTCATATCCTGTTCAAGATGATAATGATTATTTATATGCAATTGTTAATAAAATTGATCAAGGTAATGAAGTTCGAGATAGCACAACCGAACAAATTAAAGCTTTTATATCATCAAGATTTAAGATTCAGAAACAAAATATATTTGAAGTATCAGCTAAAAATGCTTTATTATCTTGCATATTTTTAAATGAATATAAATTAATTGATAAACGTGAAGATCTCATACATGATTTATTAACAGAACAAATGATAACATATAAAACATTTATTCAACAAAATGTTTTGGTCCAGTCTGATTTCAGAATGAAAGATTTCTGTACGAAAAAAAATGGGTCTATTATCAGTCCCTGGGCATGTGAGCAAGGAGCTCTTGTCAACAATGACCATGGAACTAATTTAAATTAGTAGTCTCATAGGTTGATTGTCCTTGTGTTATAATATGAAACGCAACATCAGAATGATCGTTATCTATGAGAGCTTTTGTAACGTGTGGTATTACTGAGACATTAGAAATTAAATAAGTAATAAGTCATTCACGATCATGAATCATGACACGGAGATAGGTAGATATAACGGTTCAGTATATCAATTATCTAAATGAAACTCACATAATTGACAAAATCGTCTAACTTTTTACTTCCAGGAGTTAATGGTTGACTATTGGCACACCGGTAAACACAGTGAACATTTATGGCTTCAAATAAAATAATAGCGTCAGTTGTTTGTTTATTTGACATGAAAGGTGTTATATGTTCGTTATTAAATTATCTATGCCGTGATGATGAGGCACATATGAACGTAATAGAGAGAGCTTTAGTTTTTTAAAAAAGTCGCCATATCTCATTTTCTGGTTTCGGCACGTTTAAGAAAAAACGTTTTGAAACGCGAAACTCACTCGTCGCGTTCGTGAAAAAACCGAGGAAATCGAGTTCTTTTAGAAATGCGTTGAAATTCAAAAATAAAAACTGGCGTTTTAGTCCGTTATAGCAATGAACCTGACGAAACGCGATGCTAAGTTTCGCGTTCCAAAACGTTTTCTTTTTAGATGCGTGAAAACTAGAAAAACAACTATGGCGTTGCGTCACATTTGTAAAAAAACGGACTAAAACGACAGTTTTTATTTTTGGATTTCAACGCATTTCTAAAAGAAACTCAGTTTTCAGTTTTTTCACGAATGCGACGAAACGCCGTGTTTAATTTGTGGTTCCAATACGTCTTTTTTTTAACATGCCGAAACTAGAAAATGAGATATGGCGTTCTTTCTGTTTAAATAATTCAGTGTTTAATTTTAACTAAATGAAACGAAATTCATCTTGTATTATTTTAGTTCACCACCTTATTCTGGTGAATTGGAAGGCTCGATAGCCTGTGGTGCTGATCTTAAGCGCCACTCGTGGTACTGATTTTAAGTACCATCATCCTGGGCTACTTCCTAAGTCTAATGACTCTAGGAACAGACAAACTTAGAAAATAATTCTAAGTCAAATGTAATGAATAAGTGGCGCACGACATCATGTAAGCCTGCAAATATTGCGCTTTTTCATTTTGTCGAAGTCTTTTTTCCTCGTTTTTGAAGAAATACGATTAAAGCCGTTTTTATCTGATATAGAAAATAATTGCTGGTAAACGCTATTTTTTAAGAATCCGTTTGAAGACGTTTTCTTTCGATCTGAGATAAAACAATCTTTTATCACGTTTTTGTAGCAAACAGAAAAGAAACGCTTTTCCGTGATTCTAAATGTTTTCGACTATTGAGTGTAGTGAGAATGTGAGTTTGCTGAGATTTTGAAATTATGAGATTCTTAGCATTTTGTGATCCGGAGTATAGTGAGAGTGTGAAATTTTGGCCTTCTGAGATTCTCAGATTCTGAAATTGTAAATGTTTTCAACTGTTGAATGTAGTGACATTGTGAAATTATGAGATTGTGAGATCCTTAATATTTCGGAATTCAAAGTATAGTGAAAATGTGAAGCGCTGAGGTTCTGAAATTCCAAATGTTTTGGGCTTCAGAGTACAGTGAGAATGTGAAATTGTGGAATGTTGTATGTCAGTTTCGATATTCAGATTCAGCATCAAAAACTGGAACTAGTCATGTAGTCTTCAGATCTCCAAGACGAGGAATGGTTTTTTGCGGAAGACCGAAACTACAGCGACGAAAATGCGACAACTGTTTTTGCAAATGCTTCAACTCCGCCTGAAGAGGTCGTACAGCCAAAATTTTCACACCGTTCGATTCGCCGTTTAAAGTTCTACAAAGTTATACGTCCACTTTTTCGAGATTTGTTATTGTTCAAAAGATATTAGACCTACATCGAATAGGACAGCACTTTCGCCCAAATCCTTCAGATCATCGGGCTCCAGATGAGTCAGTTCTCATGAGAGAGAGCTGAAACTATGATTTTAGAGATAGAACGTGATGCTGAATCCGATGGGCTCACTTTCAGAAACCTGTAAGGTTTCCAAGGTGGGTGTCTGGAGATCCGGATCTCTAGAGACCCTCTCAAAATCTATATGCTTTTTGTGTTTAGTGTGTGCATGCGTACTTTTTTTTGACGATGTGGTTGAGAAAGTTGATGGATAATAAATAATAGAGAGCCGGGTTAGGAGAATGACGTGAGAAAAGCTTTCAAGAGTTATAGAAAATTAAGTTGTATCTACGTTTGCTAAGACTATAAAAAAAATTTAATAACGTTAATCGCTGAGTTATCGGATCATTAATCGTTGTCAGCGGAGGCAATAAATTCAAACGATATCTGATTCTATTTATCATCATCCGTTGAGCACTAACCCAATTCGAAGATTCTCGCACATTGTACATTTATTGTGTGTTCAATGTTCTTCCTTTCTGTAGTGCTTTTATGTTTTATTTCGAGTTATAGTTATAGGATTATGTAGTTAGTAGTTATGTTATAGATGTTTTATTTCGACTGGACTTATTGCTTAATAATTTCAAAAAGTTTTAAGTTGATATTGATCCGTCTGGCTCGATTGTTAATTCATCTTAATGAATTGAGCGTCCTTGTGTCTCAGTTAGTGTTTCATTTCATCGAGCTATAGTGGGCTTTTGATAGATGTAACCAGTCAAGATTTTCTCGATCGGGCTGGAAAATCAGTCTAAAAATTTCTGGCCGGGCCGGCTTGTCATATATTTTCTTTTGGCTCTCGTCCATAGCTCCCGAACCATGGATCTTCAAGATGTCGTTTAGATCCACTTTTGTCGAAAATACTTCAGGCTATATATCTATGGAAAAGATCCATAGATTTCTATGTCAGTTTTGAGAGAATCGAACTGGTTTTATACAGATCTCCTGAAAAATCGATCTTAGAAATTTTTTCCAAGTTTGTTTTTGCTTATAAAAACATAGCTTCAGGTCTTGGCTAGCGAATGATGAAAACCGTACGTATCTCCCTTTTATTTCTTTTGAGTTATTCAAAAAATTACCATCGGATTTGTATTTCGGCGTTGATGGTAGTGCAAAAAATATTAAAAAAGAAAACGAACGGAACATTCACATGGTAGAGATTACCAGTCCTGCTCTGGAAGGCTCTTGACAAAAAAGAGAAAACTAAACTAACTCTTTTAATCTGAAATATGAAAACGTTTGTTTTATTTAGCTCAGCAAATTCGTTTTCGATAAAGTAAATGGCATTATTTCTTTACCAAAAAAGCTAGATAGGTTTACAAGAGAGGCGTGTATCATTTTCAATGCTCTGATTCCCAAAACCAGGCTGAATCAATTTTGAGTTTGAATTCAATTAAACATCGTGTTTATATTAAGTCTTTAATGCTAAATCCGAAAAATATAGTTTAAAAACCGAAAAAGAGCGATGAATCGAAAAAACATTTAATTTTTAGAAAATGAACGGTCTTTTGAACATATGAGTTCTTCAAGTATTTCAAATTTTTCGCCCATAAAAATTTTTTTCAGAAGTTAAAAGCCGCTTTTTCTTTCTCAGCTCATCGCGCTCTATCTAACCATGTATGAATTAATCAGAAAAAATTTTACTTAAAATTCGAACTGTCGGCGCCTTACTGATTTTTCAGACAAAAAAAAGTTTTTTTTCTGTAGCCGCCGTCATATTAATTTTCTTTTGACCGTCCGGCCGATCGATCTGTCAATAACTTCTGGTCGGATCGGATCGGTTGCCAGTACCGGCTACATCTCTGGGGCTTTTGAATCGGCGCGTGGTGTAGACATTGTTATAAACTTTTATCTACTTGCCGATACCAAGTTTTAACCGTGGTTCTTATTACTTGAAAGAAATACAGTTTATTAAAAAAAGAGAGTGGAATCAAGAAAGACAACTTCTAAAAACCGTCCAAAATCTATAAGCTTTCCTGTCGGTCATACTTGTTCACAACTTCATCTCGTAGTCAACAGATGCCGTGATTCTAATAATAGTATTATATTATAAGTAAAAGATTAGAAAAACTGTATACTTCTATACAAGATTGACTAAATCGTCGAGAAGAAAGCGCTAGTCATTTTTCACAGTTCGAACTCTGACAGACGATATGTTCTACTACTATTATGTAGTGCTATATATTCAGCCCTTACTCTTACGTTTATATTTTTGATTAATAGAAATTAACGAATGACGGTCAAAATTCAGTATTTATGAAAGTGTTGAAATTAAGCAGACCAGAATGATTTTATATTCTACTTGGTTGTCTAGCATGTATTGCCAAACGATGCTATGATTCCATTATTCTGTTTTATATTTGCACAAACAATCATTGTAATATCGAATCTTTCTCTCTTTAAAACTCTGCAATATTCTTTTCGTATGTCACTTTTTTACAGGTGTATATGGAGTCAAACAAAGTCAAACAACAGCACGAAATTAGATTATATTGTACATTGCTGATTGCATTGGGTTTAATTGTCTTATTATCAAGACTACTACAAGTAAAAGAAATATTTACACTTTTTGTAACATGGGTATTTGAATTTCTTGTCTCTTTTTCATAGAATTTAGTTTTTTCGATATCGGGTGCAGAATTAAAAAAGCGTGTACGTGCAAAAGCAATTCAATGTATGTTGAAACAAGAAGTCGGTTGGTTTGATAAACAAGAAAACCATAGTGGAATACTTTGTGAACGCTTATCGACGGATGCATTAGCTATTCAAAATGTAAGCTTTTATAAACAACTATCCAAAAACAAATTGCTAAAAGTATTGTGTGTCTTTAGATAACAGGATTTCGCATCGGTTTGCTAATAGAATGTACTTCGACACTTCTTATTGGTTTTATACTGTGTCTGATAGTCAGCTGACAATTAACATTAATTATTATGGGAAGTATTTTATTATGTTTTGCAATGGTTTACCTACAGGTATATTTCGAAATAGTGTTGTCAAAGAAAACAAAAGAAATATTAGAGCCAGCGTCAGTAGTAAGTAGAGTTTAAGGATAACATCGAGTCATTGCACAACTTCAATCATTGTGCAGAATATAGGAAAGAACAGCGAAGTTGATTTTTGCAGTTCATCTGCAACGATCAAGTTCACGTGTTCGATTCTAGCTTCGTGCAAGGATTGATTTTGTGTTTTGATAGTTTAAGTTTCAGAATGATATAATGGGAATTTATATTCTCGATTTCATTCTGGTTCAAGATTAAAGCTTAAACCAAGTAGAGCCATTTTAATTATAACAAAATATCCTATAACATTTAAATATTTTGCTTTTAGCTCGCTACAGAATCACTTCAAAATATTCGTACAGTTGTACAATTGACTAAAGAAGATATTTTTATACAAACGTATTCCAAATATATTCACCATACATACGCGTAAGAGAAACATAGGCAAGAGTGGATGACAATTATAATAACTTGTTTTATTTGATAGATTCACAAAAACATATTCATATATTAAAGCAATTACACACTCTGTGGCAATATCGAATTTTTATTTTACTTTAGCAGCAACATATGTAGCCGTGTTTGTATTAATCGAACATGAACAAATTAAAACTGAAAATATAATGATGTAAAACGTGTCGTCAAAAGTCATATTTCTTTCTTATTCTGACAATCTTTTTAAGGGCAGTAGCATTTATTTTATTTGCAACACAACCATTTCAAATTATTTTCGCCTTGTGAGTTTTAAACTGATGTTTTGTAAAATAAATAGTATCAAAGAAAAAATTTCTAGGAATTAATTAAATCTTCAATGGTTACGAGATGTAGTTCGTATATTACAGTATTAATTACGCGAAGTTAGTATTGTGTCTCTAAGATTGACAATTTTGACGATGTCTCACATGAACAAACAATTTCAAAAATTGGTCTCATATCGCAAGAGCCTACTTTGTTTGATATGACTATTCAAGAAAATATTGCTTATGGTGATCATATTCGTCAAATACCAATGATAGAAATAATTGAAGCAGCCAAGAAAGCAAACATCCATGACTTTATTCAATTATTACCACAAGTAAGTATGCTACGTTGTTTCTTTAAATTATACAATGGAACAAATTCAGAAATTGATGCGTTCTCTAGTAAAAGTCTTTTTTGCATGCAGATTCTATCAAGCTAATCCTAGAACGCATAGCTAAAAAACTATGCATTACACTTGTTAAGCAAGTAATTTTATTAAAAAGAAAATGATGGTGATCATAAAATTAGTTAAAGCAACTGGATAGCAAAAGAGGAAATAATGAGGTAAGTGCTGATGAAAAAGGCTTTTATGCAAAGATTTCTGCACATATTCAGACTTGGGCGCCAAAGATGCGTGGAAAATGGGTTATAACAAATGCTATATGTAAAGATATAATGAATGTTTTAAAGCAAGATAAGGCTGGTGGAAAAAGCGATATTGATCCACAACACCGTGCATGATGTGTAAAATATTTTAAATTAAGTAATCTTGTTGGTTCTGATACTCTGTGTGCTGTTGATACAGGAAAAACCGTTGTCATGCTTGAAACATTATATCATATACTTCATGAAGCTCATGAACAAACTGGTTATGGTGGTCGAGACAATATGTGATATGAGATATCTCAACATTATAGATAGATACCTTCAAAAACAATCGATATTTTTCTTTCGGGTTGTGTAGCTTGTCAGGTTCGAAAGTCGGTTAAAAATCATGTTGTGCCAAAAGCAATTATTTCTTTACAACCCGGGTTACAAGGTCAGCTGTAAAAATATTGTCACGTGAATGTGATAGCTACATCACAATTTCAGCGCTTGTATTAAAGTGGCCTGATTGCATACCCATACGTTTTGATTCTGCAGGTAACACAAATAAAAATTTCAGCGATAGTAACAATTTTAAACTGCAAAAAACGGCAACAAAAATTTTCATGCAAATGTATCCACAGGCTATATTAGTGTTACATCTAATATAATGGAGAAATCCATTAAGCTACTGCGAATAATCTCTGTGTTGTTTCTATCGTGAATGAATACACAGTTACAAAGAAAAGTCTTTTCGATTGGTGTTTCTTTATATTACCAGAAGAAAAAAATGATTAATTGGTTCAAACAGATACATAGGAAAAAGTTCTTTCTGGTTTAAATTACTACAACACTTTGTTTTAAATGGATGTCGTATTATAAACGACTTTGGGAATTCGTCAAAAGTTTTTGTTGAACGTATGTATATGTAACTCCTTCCTATAAATCGTCATTTAGTTACAGTGTAACATAAAAACTACAGTTTTGAGACGACGGTTAACAAGTCGTAAAAATCTCGTAATTCTTCTGAGACTGTCTTCAGTGCGATCTTAAACATCAAATGAGACATTTCTATGGAATTCAATTCAAATAGGACATGTCTAACTAACAGTGGCACTTTCCTTTTATCGTTACTGTAACGGGTAACAAAAATCCGTTGCTTTTATTACTTCTGGAAAAATAATGGATAAATTATTTTTTTTGATTGAAATAACCCGTTAGTTCATTGGTCGACTAATTGAAACTCATAGAAACACTGAATTGAAGGATAGATTTTTGAAACTTAAATCAACATGAGAATAATTCAACGCAATAGTACATGAAGTTTACAGAGTCACAGTTATTTCTAAATTTACTTTGATTCTATTTCACAGAATAGTGCGATTTAACAGCAACTGAATCTTAGATTTGACACAGTTTTCAAGGTAGAAACATGAAATGTTTGAAAAAACGTTTCTCATCGGTTAAAAAAGTTCAACAAAACAGATAAGAGGTTGTCAAAACAACAAAAAGCATCTTTTAGTAAAGTAACGGATTTTTGTTACAGCTACTTTTCAGAATAAAGTAACGGGAACGTACCATTCCTGTTACTAATGCGAGTGGAAAAACGATGGACTAAGTTAAAAGAATGAACGCTACACTTTAGTATGACAATAAGTGTCTGCAAAGCAAATCTATACACCTGCATGGTTAGTGCACTGTGATGCAGAGGTTTTTCCTTGGTGTGGAGTTAGATCTTTTTGTATTTTAGTATGCCAAAAACTGCATATATACCGCAACGAACACAGTATGAAGGGTCATATAGTGCTAGTACTTTTAGTAGCCATAACACAAGTGCAAATGTAAGTGAAATTAATTCAACTTCTGGCATTTTTCAACAACCGAACACGAGTCTGTTTATTTTATTTTTCTTATTTTTTCATACTATAACATTTTTAAATTGATGGCATTGAAAAAACGACATTAAAACAAAAGAAATTCTTGAAGAAAGGAAAATAGCATTAAACAACGCACTTCTGAAGCAACCAGATTGTTTTAAAAATTCTTAGTGGAATCAAGCTCAAAGAATCATTTCATCAGGGAGTCACCTCATATATTAATAGAATCTGTCTGCATTTCCATTTGTTACATTTTTATATTGACTGAGTCTTCCAATAATTCTCAGTCTACTCTGTCACTTTTTCTTAAGTATATATAGACTCACACATATACTCGATCTAGTTCCAAACATAGTTTATACTACGATACTAAAAGAGTTAATGTGCTCTTAATCAATATAGATCCCTCTGCAAAACAGATGACCAGTACTGAGCGAACCAATGTAGAGACATGGGATATGGACAATTCGCTATGGAAAAATTTTGATTTTTTTCAGCTGAAATATTTTTAAAAAAATTTAGGGTCTCTGTATGTTTCCTGACATAATGGGAGTTGTGTAAGTGGACAAAAGTTTCCACTCACAACTCTGGTAACCATAAACCTGCTTTGTAATGAAGAAAACGAAAGAAGTACAATTATGTACGCTCAGTTATCTCTTATTAACAGATATTCATTTGAAATACTGAATGAAAATAAAAGTTCAAAAAGTCCTGCACATGCCATTCAAGTAGCGGTTGAGAAGCTGTATATTACGAACGGCCTTTGAAGAGCAAATTTAGGAGTAATCTTGTTGGGGCTCTTCTGAACTGCAAGAACCATAATCAATATCATAAATTTACTAGACGATTGATTCTGCTGCGGCATCTTTATTTCGAGAGTGTAATGTACTGTTTCTTTAGTGTCCATATTGAAGCGAAAATTTCTTGTTCATTAAGATAATGTATTACTCTCACACTTCGTCGGTAGTTCACGATTAACTGACAACTCACATATATCAGAAATGTAGTTCTAATCATGCAAAACGTTTGACTAATGTGCTTTCTTTTTTGTTTGCCGTTATTTAGGGAAAAGTATCGCCCATCAGTACAAGGACGCTAACACAAAATATAAAAAATATTCGGACAGTGAAAAGTAAAGGAAGGTAAATATGCAGAGAGACAACTTACTCTTTTCTTATTTTCAACGCGAATTTCGTCACTTTTAGTTCGATATTAGTACGTCCATCATGGATGACAAAGAACGTTTTAATTGTTATCGGAGTTATAGCGGGCTTAGTGGCTATCCTAGTCATTGTTATATCAATAGCAGTCATCTTCGGTAAAGGTAAGCATTCGTATTTAGACAAAATTTCCTGTCAAAACAAATGGCACAAAAGTAATTAACGTTATATAAGAACTTAATAGTTCATAATCGCAGCAACTACACTCTAAAAAAGAAAGTCGTGTAAAGGGTTTCCTAATAGGTTTAGCAAATGTTACTAAATCCGTAAGAGTATTTTAGTCGTTATTAACAACCTGAAAGGTTCTGTAAAGGGTTCATAAGGCGTACTGAACCTTGGTATTTTTAAACTACGGTTTAGCAAAACAGTTAGGAGTTTTTCTGAAGATTGAAAGGTTTCGCGAAACACGTAAAACACCCATGGGGTTTTTCTTTGTCTCGGAAAACTCAATAGAGTGTTTTACTAAACCCATGGGGTTTTTCATTCAACCTTGTACGGTTTCTGAGTTTGCTAAACTCTGGGGTTTAGCTTCCAAGGGTTTCATACAATTTCGTCAACAAGTATATTGACTTTTCATTCATCCGAAACCCTAGAATGTAGAAGAGTTTTCCGTACATGTTTTTATCGAAAGAAAGCTCATAAGTTACGAATTAAGTTAACTTTCGAAATTTTCGCTGATCACTGGTTTTCTATTCTGGGAGGGTTTACATAACCCTCTATAGAGAGTTATCAACTTTCGCCCTCTATCTTAATCTAATGTATTTTATCACTAAAAAATACGTAGTGTAATACGCGTCTGAATTTACTTATATCAGTATCGAAACTACAACTCTCTTTATCGCTCTTCAAATTAACTGTTTTTTAAAGCTAATCAGAAACTTACAACTTTCTGGTTTCCACATGTTGTTCATCAAAAATAGCAAAATAAGTTACCATTCTCAGGATACTTTTGTTCCAAGCTAGAGACGTGTAGGTTTTGGAATCAACCACGCTGAATTAGGTGGCGATGTTTGTTCCGCGAAAATAATTAAAAATCCTCATAAAAATTAAATGTTACGAACAGCACCCATGTCTCGTTTTTTCAAAGGAAACTAGCAGTATTCTTAAATACCATTTATATAAGAATACCTCCAGTTTTCTTATAAAAACTGAGGCATGGATAGTGTCTCCAAGTTGTTTTCAAGTATGAAACTGGATCAAAGAGCATCAGAACCACTTAAAAATTTCAGGCTATGGCTAATTCTGTGCGTTGAGCATGCTAATACGATGGAAGAAGTGGAACAGCCATGTTTTTGCTTAACTGTGTTCCAGAGGCCTTTTCAAGAAATCATAGAGTTTCGTAGATTTGTTATCAATAGCAATATAGAATAGCTGAAATATTGTGCTTCCTGATGCTTTCAACTGATTTTCTGAAACCGCAGGTTCATCGGCAACGACAACGGTTACAACAACCTCGGAACCGGTGGTTACTGCTTACTGGAATTTCGAAGGCAATGGAAATGACTTATACGGGAGCTATAATGGAACAAGCAACTGTGGCTCATGTACATACACCACAACAGGATTCTATGGTGGTACATTTTTCTACGTATACGGCTCAAATTACTATATTCAAGTGCCAGCCTCATCCTATTTTAATTTGAACTCTCGAAGTTTCACATTCGAGGCATGGATTTATAGTTACACCGTGACGAATGATGGTCCTATATTTAGTCAATGTACATGCACAACCTGTACAAGCCAGTGTTTATTTTTAAATCTTCGAAGTGGTAAACTGTATATGGGTTTTAACTTTAATGACTTAGCTGGTTCAACAACATTATCTACGTATACATGGTACCATGTTGCTTTTGTCTATAACTACCAAACTTCTCAACAAATTATTTACCTTGACGGTGTTCAAGATGCAATCCGTTCGGGAGTAACAACGCCTTATCTCGGAACTAATGGGTCAATGTATTTTGGCTATTCACAACTTTTGGGATCGAGTAATTACTATGGTTTCATTGATAATGCACAATTAACAACTAGGTATGATCTACTGGGGAGTGACATAGTGGTTCTGCTTTTAGGGATCCTAGGACATTGACAGGGAGGTAGAGATCAATTAGAAAGACTACACTATCAGTAGTACATAGTGAGTATCGAACAAGAGAACACAAAGAAAGCACAATGGCTGAAAAATGCTGAACTAAGTCACCATCTGGATTCAAATTCTTTTTTTAGAAAACTTAGATAGAAGCAGACTATTAAAAATTCGATACCCTTTTCTGTTGATGCATCATTCTATCCTTAACTAGAGCTAAAAGTTCAACAGAAATATTGAACGATGCAACCCAAGTATTCTATTATTCGTTTGATCAACCAAATCCCTACTATGATAATGGTCCAAATCGTTTAAATGCCACAGCTACAAGCAATCTGGCATCTGCAAGTGGACATTTGGGACAAGCCGTTCGGTTCACAAGCACTTCAAGTTATATGCAAATATACTGTTTTCCCGGGGTTGGTTGGCCTTCTAGTAAGTCGTTTACGTTTGCGGTATGGGTATACCCTTCATCAGTAAAGCAGTTGTTCAGGTATTACGTTAAGAGAACATTCACGCTTAATAACACCAGGACAAGACTGATACAGGATACTTGAATATCCTAAAATGGCGGGAATTTCGTATATAGTACTCAAGGATATCCAATGCTTGGTCTGTCGTACAGTGGACAGATTGCTGCTCAATTGCAGCAATCATCTCCAGTGAACGTGTGGATGACTATATTTGGTCCTTTTATATCTGTTAATACTTGGACGCATTTGGCGTGCACATTTAGCGTAACAAATGGTTTTATTTTATATGTGAATGGTGCATCACTATATGCAATAACAGGTATTGCCACATACTATTTTAACTACAATCTCCAAACTATTCAACTAGGAACTAGTAATGGTGGTGGTTATATTCCAAGCAATGGCTTCCAAGGATCACTGGATGAATTATATGCTTATAGGCGCGAATTAAGTGCTACAGAAATATTAGCATTAGCTAGTGTATAATAGTGATCATACAATGCTTCAATTATAACATAATGAGAAAACGGAAGTTTTGAGTAATCAATGCATAACAAAACTGCAAAAACGCATAATTATTTCGACCTTGCAAATTTTTGTGTCAGAATTTTAAAAACTGGAATCATTTTTCATCCAAAATACGTTATATACTTTTTCTGAACAAATATTTTTGTTTTTATTCGGAAACAACTAACTATTAAAACTATTCAATGAAAACAGACTGAGCTATCAACGTTCAAAACTATCAATCGAATGCATGTCGGATACCTCGAACTTGAACTTTATTTGCTAGACACAGAGAACTGAACTGGTACAATACTCGTAGCAATACTGTCGGACAAATTATTGCATTCTTTCAGCAGACAACCCAAGAGCGTAAAAACGGGTAAAAAGACGGGGTCCGAAAACTAAAAAAACGGCCCGTAATATTTCTCATTGGACGGGTCCGCCTCCCATTTGCCACGGGGTGACGGGGTCTGAACGGTTCAAAAATATGGGTATCCCGTATAACTACACGTTCTGCATCGAAGAAATACGGGGTCATGAAAAATGATTTCTTATACGTATGATTACCTGTTCTACTCTTAGTCGCTTTGACATGTAAAATTAACTTTTGTGTATGTTCCACCCTAGGCAGTCATTTTCTGCTCGAAAAACACGTACATCATTTTTGTGGTAGAAACGCGTTAAATTTTTAAATTTGAAAAAATTTAAAAATTAAATTCAAAATCGAGCTGACGTATACAGAGAGTCTCCATGCTCTCACACGGCCGTCCACGACTGTCTTAAAGTCAAGGTTCACAAGTTAAGGAAGAAAGAAACTAAAACAACTTACTCTGTTGTGACGATGATTCGAACGTGAGTACCTAGAATTAAGAAGCAAGCATAGAACAGGTTGAGCTAAAGATGCTCGAAAGATGACCTGTATCATCTGTAATTGTTTCGAGCATCGATAACTTACTGAAGATTTATTCTTTTCTGTTTGCTTGCTTTTTAATTCTAGGACCCGAGCACCTGCTTATTAGTCTTGTCTGCAGAGATCTTTCATTTTGCTCGGAGTAAAATAGTTTTTTATTTTCAGTAATAGTGACTGGAAGGCTTGAATGAAAGTAATTTCTGAGTTTCGTTGTTCTATCACCTGTAGGTTCAGTTCCAAAATTCAAGAACTTCTACGAAGCTTCGAACCCAGTTGAGTTTCTATTATTCGACGTTGTTCGAGTTCCGTATTGATACAGATTCATTTTTTCAAACTTTTCATCCGAGAGCTATTTATTACCCATATTTTGTATTTGAATGTTATCGTTGAGAGCAACACCTGAGTCTGAGTAAGTTTTTCGTGTGAATCACTGGGTCTTTGGTAAAAAGACTTTGCATCTAATTCAGATCGAAAATGCATAGAAATTGAAACGTTTCATCTTACGATATCCCCGACAATAGAACATACACAAAAGTTAATTTTGCATCCCAAGGCATCTAAGAGTAGAACAGGTAACGACGCGGCGCTTCAAAGGCATAAGAAATCATTTTCCATGACCCCGTATTTCTTCGATGCAGAACGTATAGTAATACGGGGTGTAAGTGAACGGGTAAAAGTACGCCCCGTACTCTTTCACAAGGGAACGGGTAGAATGTAAATAAATCCGCCTCAGTACGGGGTCTGGACCCCGTATGAAGTTTTGATACGGGGTCAGAACGCCCGTTTTAAAATTTTTTTAAGCTCTTGGGAAGAAACGCTTATATAGTACATATGTTTTGTGTTTCAGCATAGCTAACTGTGTGTGTGAAATTGCTTTATTACTAAACTTAAATAATAACAAGTAACTGGACCTAAAGTCCCGGCTACTTTTCTTTTTTAAGATAGAATAAGTTTTTACAAGGTATCAACACAATTTCTAAAATTTTTACTGGTGCTGAAAGAAAGCAGACAATCTGTCTAAGTAGCAGTCAGTTTTATTTGATCGATTTTTTGACGTCACGGCTTGGTTTACCACGTTGAACGGTCTCTCATTATGCATTTTCAAATAGATCTGCATAGATTTTGTTTGAATGTAAGGCGCCCCTAATTCAAAGTTTAAGCACTATTTTCTTTTTGACTTTAACAGACATATTCTGATAGGAGAAATCGAGCTGAATCCGAATATCATATTTATTTTGCTGTACGACCTTTCCTTCTCGATGAAAATTGCGAAATACTGAGAAGTATCCAAAAATCGGAAAAACCTATACTTCAGATTTGTTTTTTCTAGTTAAATTTTGGAGTTTTGAAACAGAGTTTTTCTGAATCAGCGTGTCAAACTGCATATGATAACGTGTCTTTGAACTTCTCCACTCGCTCTTAGCCTTTGCAAAAAATTCATTTCTAAGAGAACTCAAAAATGAGACCCTCCACTCGAAAAAGCATCAAGTAGATTGTCTTAAGAAATGAAGCCTTGTTTAACACAGTATTCGAATGGCCTTGCAGCGGAGAATAAAGTTATAACTGCAGATTTTCGAATTTTTGCTGATGGCTCTTGGAGACTCAGTTGTCTGAAAAATCAGTTTTTTAGAAACTCTAAAATATATCCAAAACCTTTCTTAATGAGCCATGAGTGTAGTCCGTAAATTTCTGATTAAAATGAGATATATCCCAGCTCTAAATGACCTTTCTTTCCAACGCTATAGAATTCACATGAAAACCCCTAAATTAATTTTTTGCTTATTTCTGTAGTCTTGAGCTGCCAATGAACATTTAGGGCTTTACTTGTAAATTCTATAACGTTGGAAAGAAAGGTCATCTAGAGCTAAGATACGTCTCATTTTAATCAGAAATTTACGGACTACAACCATGCCTCATTAAGAAAGGTTTTGGATATTCTTTAGAGTTTCTGAAAAACTGATTTTTCAGACAAAAATAATATTGATGTAGCTAACTCTATTCCAGAACTAGCTCAGGTCTCCTTGATTTCATGATTTACGAGAAATAAGCACGCCTTTCCTCTTCCGTAAATTACGAAAACAAATGCTTTTAAGTAATAAGACATGCAGAATTTCTAAACGATATATTTTGAATTTCTTCAAAATCAGAAGATGATTTTTCGCAAAAGCGGCGGGTACTTCATAGATTGAAAATCCGCCTCCTACAAATCAGTTCTAGAGTACCGCTGCATTCAACACTTAATAAGAAGAAAAGAAATAAGAAGGATTAAATTTTTAATGCTATAGTTATCAAAACTAATAGGCAGTTCTACGAAACTAAGTAGAATGAGTGGAATTGACAGGCTGTCGCTTGTCTGCGATACGTTTCTGTGAGACGTTCTGAAGGAGATACATCGATATGCATCTATCTGTCTTTTGTTAACCCTTTACGTAACCATAGTGGTGCCGCAAGAGCCACTGATAAAATCACCACACGAATAGAATATTGGTCTTCCCAATATAGCAACAATATGAACAGATCGACCAGGCGGACTGTCCTTTGTGCAGGGGATTTTGGTCATTCCAGTGACCGTTGAAGAAAGGAGGGAGTGCAATAACTTGAAAAAATCCAACTTTTTTCCCTTTTATGACAGTGTTGGTTTTGCCACAAATGGCATCTATTCTTTTATTTGACTAATATGCACAAAGGAAAGCTGAATACATGAAAAGATATTTTCTTAAGAACACATGTATTTTTGACACACACTTAGAAAAAAGCAGTGGGCTTTATTTAAGTAATTAATATCATGGATAAAAAATTTTTATCGATAATAAATATTGTTTCAACTTCTAATGTGATAAGATTTTAAATAATATATGTATGATCTACGTCATTCCCCGCCTCCTCCTTCTCCAATGGTCACTCTAGTGTCCATTTTATGTCTTACCATCTCCTATCTTCCTGTCTTTTGTGAAACTTTCGAAACGCACTTGATTCACTACTAGACATTTTCTTCAATATGTATCACAGAGCACGTTTGCAAGATGTTTATTGCCTGTAGGTATGAAAAAAAATTTTTAAAAATTTTTCAATTTTTTCAGATTTATCGAGTTTGTAAATCATATATTCCTGAAAAAGGACAATGAAACAAAATATCTTTTTTAACAACCATTAGCTTATGAACTTATCTTGGTCTAAAAAGCAATCCATTTTTTATCACATGCTTCATTATCTTTTTATAACAACTCTACGAATGGGTCATGCCATTGGTAGGTAAAGGCTTATTAAATATAAGCAGTGAGTCACATCAAATCTGTGGAAAATTTTGATGAGTAAATAAAATATTCAGTCGTCATTCGATTACTGCTCCATCATTTTATCTATAAAAATGTATTAGTCATACTCTTATGGAAACAAACAACAACTACAAATTTTCTTTTTCTTTACTAATTAAACAAATGCATACAATAATATAGATAAAGTACAACTTTGTCTGGTGTCGGTGGTACACCATTATCAAGCATTTATGGAGAGTACTGAACAGTTCGCTACAAGTAACGTTTTTCTCTTTTTCCCTTCCTTTGTACATCACATAGGGTCGTATATGATAATTCGGCCGACTTGCACAAAGTTCTTTAGTATTTGGCGTATTTCTAAGTCGTTTTTAATCAGATAAGCGTGCTATTGAATATGAAAGCACAACTAACAGTTCTCTATCCGCTGATGTAAAAGTCTCCTAAAAAATTCCTATTTATTCTCGAGCAGTATTCAAAAATAGACAGGGGCCTCCAAACGGACCAAATTTCCCCTATCTGGGGTAATTCAGGCGAGTTTATTCAAATGCATGGAGTTTTAATTATAAAAGCTCTTCTAATTACGGATAAGTCCTAATCACATAAAAATTACACCAGTTTGAAGCTCTTCTCCTCTTCTAACTCCGGTACAAAGTTGAAGTTATTAAGATTCGATACAATAAAGTTAAGTAAAACATAATAACGAATGGTCAACTTTCTTATTTTTCCGTTTTTTTCAAATGGGGTAATTGGGGCCGACAAGCTGTTTTGCTTGGGTTAATTCGGGCCAGTTCAAA